TTTTCTCCTCTATGCAAAATTAAAAATACTCATTTTCCAGGGAGATTTTCTAGTATCCTCTTAGTTTAGAGTTGGCTATGTTAATGTTGTGAGTGAGCTCTCCTTGGGCACTACCTATACTAATATTGCAAAGCAGAAACATAATTAGTTTGCATATTTTAATACTATAATTTGCTTCAGGCTGTTGAACTAATTTAATATACAATCATAGTATCACTTTATAGAGATTAGAGAAGATCTTTTTGCAGCTTAAGATGACAAAATTTTTAATAGTTTTTCCTTACAAATTCTGTGTCAATAACGTATTTTAAGTTATTGCTGTAACAAACAAGTTTTTGTGTGCTGAAGTATGCTATACGGTGGTGTTTCTTGCAATGAAAAGAATTTGTCTTAAAATCTGGTAGGTTTTTTGTTTGGTGGTTTTGTTTTGTTGTTGGGTGGGTTTTTTGGTGTGGGGGTTGTTTTTTTTTAGTATTAACCATTGGTTGTCCTGTGTTATGTATTCAGCTGAAGGATAAAGGTCAGTGACTGTAGCAAACTGCTTATTAGATGCTTCAAGTTCTTAACATCTATATGGTGCTTTTAATTCCCCCATAGTGGTGGTTGTTAGGAGATGTTCTACAGAAGAATTTGTAGGTCTTGTCAGGTTTGTGACTACATTTGCTTGGTTAACATTAACTTGAAGTTGTGGGCAGATCTGTTTTTTTAAAAATGATGTGCTTCTGCTTTGAAAGAAGTGATTGTGTTCGTCTGAAAAATTTGTCATGGTTTGCAGCAGCATGGCTGGTTAGTTCTCTGAACTCCATCCTGACATGTAGCTCCTTCCCTTTCTTTCCTCTGTCACCATGAATATTTTCTAATAATATTTGTACATGGGTGTACAAGTGGGAGTTCAAAGTACTTTTGCAGTTTTATGATAAAGGATGAATTGACAGAAGTGCACCATCAATGAATGGTTACACTGCCAATGTGTCTTGTGCAATAGAGGACTGGGTTCCCACAGTAGAACAGGAGAAGTAGTTACAGGATTAGGAGAAGTATCTGTATAAAATTAGGCTGAGTAGACGGGAATTCTTTACTTAATAAAATGACCATGCAACTGGAGTTCTGCTTCTGTGGGATAGTGTTGGCATAAATGTGTGTGTATATAGGTATGTATATATGAAGGACTTAAATACAGGACCTGGTTTCTGCCTTTCGCCTCATCAGTCTAGACCCTGTGAAGGTACAAAACCTCAGGTCACTGTGGCTTTCCAAAGGATATAAAATGTATTTGTAAGTGCTGCATGAACTTTGCTTTATTTACTTTTGTAGATGATTGGATGGTGATCTATCAGTCTGTGAAAAAAGAGCTAAAGTCTTTGTGTATAAATTTTCCTGGTGACTTCTTGTCCTAAGAAGTAAGCAACAAACTTCCATCTGCAGATCTGCCTGTGTTTCACACAGCCTCAGTTATTCTCACACTTTCTTACAAATAAATAGTACTGCAACAGTGTTTTTCCAATATCTATGCATATGCTTGCAGCATGACTGACTAATTAATATGTGGGTGAATAATGGAATAAGTTAATGTGGATTGGAAGATGCCTACTGCTAGCTGGGCAACCATCTGACACTGTCATTGTGTAAACCTGCTGCAATATTGTAAGTCTGCACAGGGATAGGTGCTCTGAATCAGAAGTTTGCCAGCCATTTACTGTCACGGACGATTTCTGGGAAGTAGATAAATTGACTGCTGGTGTGTTAGCCTAAGAACAAGCAAAAAGTAAGCAGCCTGGCTATAGCAGCTGCAGCTTCAGTCTCTAATCCCAGTTCCTGTCCTTTCAGTTACTGGTCTGTAGCAGCTGCCTTATTTAACTGTGGTGTAGCTTTGTAACAGGGCTGGATAGAAGTGTGAATTGCAACGTCACATTTCTCTGTCGTGAATTGCAACGTCACATTTCTCTGTCGTGAATTGCAACGTCACATTTCTCTGTCGTGATCTGTGCTGTGGTTCATTCTCGGAGCAAGTGGTAGTTCTTTCTGGTGAGGTGAAATCCTGCTAGGGGTACAGGCCGCTGCCAGAATGCCCACCAGTGCCTGCACCCTTCCTGCCGTGGGAGTGTGGACAGCCTGAGCACTGCAGGCTACTACTTCACTTGGCATCATCGAACGACTTGGAATCACTTACAAAAATGCTGCTGTGAAGAAATGTTGGTCTCTGCAAAAAGTTTTTGAAGGTCTTCGGAGCAGTCGGGCACAGACATACAGCTGGGTTGGAGGCAGGGCTCCTCTGGCCTTCCCCTCTTAACCTGCAGCTGTAGCCTGCAGTCCACTACTCTGCTCTCTGGAGTTCATCAACACAGTTCTGTTGGGTATCATGTAGAAATATGGGTGGCCAATAAAAATATAAATATTTATCTAATTATTAAAAGTGTTATTAATTTCTCTTTTAATAACATGCCTTTGTAAGACTCCATATTAAATCAGTACACTTCCATCAGTCTTCAGGACATAACTTTCTTTAGGTTTTGAGTCACTGTCTTATACAATTATCAACATAGAAAATAATCGTTTACACAATTTAGTGGAGAGTGTTTAAAATATCTTTCAACTTTTCATTATATAGACTTCATATTTGGACACAGTAGCTTTCTTGCAGCAGCTTTAAATGTATATTTTGGGACTGAAAGCTCTGACCTTACCCCACTGACTCAGAAATCTTTACCCTGTGTGTGTAGCCTGCCATGTGTAAACCTTTGCAGAAGTAAGGTCAAAAGCTACAGGGTCAAAGGCAGTTTTTTCCCCCTTACATAGTTCCTGTACTGCAGCTCAAGGTTAGGTTATTACATTAGTACAGTATGGTGTGTGCTTCAGTGACTTGCTTTCTATCACAATTAAATTTTGTTATTCTGATGATGTATCACAAGAGAAGGTTTTGTGGCAAAAAAAAATCTTATCCTGGGTATTAGAGGAGCAGTAAAATAATTCTTCAGGACTTGTGAGAAGCTGCCTTTTACCTTCTCATGAACAGTAGTTGGTTGAGATGCTCAGCTTGTTCTCATTGCTTGAGATAGCTTCACCAAAGTATTTCACTATCCTTTTTACACCAGTTAAGGCAAGGCAACTGCTCATCTCTCCGCGCTTTACTTAGAGCAAAGGACAAAATAATCCCCTTAGCCTGTTAAATGCTCCATCCCATCTGGTAGGTGATAATAGCATTGTATGGGGATTAGCACAGTGGGGATATTCTTATAGTGTAATGAAATCTGCACTACAAGTGTGAAAGTCAGCTGAATGCATTTGAGCAATTTGGGACCTTACACATGAACATCTTTGTAAATATCATAAAATAGACATTACATCTAGAGAAGGTGTGCAGTACCTTTACGTGCCTTTACATGGGTGTAACATATGGTAAATCTGTTCTGAGACATCAGTAGTCTAAATACCTGAAACACTCTTGTAGGAGTAGTAGAATAAGCTTTTGTTTAGCTGAACGTTTTGGGACAATTCTGTGATTATAGCTGTATGAAATTACACCCCAGGTGTTGACTTTACTTTTACTCAGAACACCTATGACTTTGAAATCATGGGGTTGTTACTAGTATAGGAGCACCCATGTTTTAAACGCTGCCTAGAAATCTTCCTTAGTAAAGGTGAAATCTGAATAAGACATGCTGAGGAATATCAGTAATTTACTGTCAGTAGGGATAAGAGGATTTCAAGCTGAAAGTAACTCTCCTTGCAGCCAACCAGAATAAATATTTTGAAATTTCAATTTCAAGCATGAGCATAAGGTAGTGCAGAATGACATTAAAAAAAATTTAAAATTGTCCTGTGGGGTTTTTTTAAGTTTAGCTAATGTTGTCAGTAGTAAAGATACTAAATTTTAGCGCTTAAAGCATTTCATAATCTAACTGTAATTTAGCTTCCTTACCTTCGAAGATGTTAAAGATCTGTTTGAAGGTATGTTCTGTAGGACAGTAGCTCAGGGTTGATTACCATCCTGATGGTTGCGCTCTCTCCAGTCTCCCTGTATGGTACAAGAAGCTGGACAAGTTGCTCAGTGCTGACCAGTATGTGCCATTTCACTGATTTGAACATTAACCTGTTAGATTAAAACAGGATTTGGTTAACCCACACTGTGTTGTGATAGTGTTCATAGGCAGGTAGATTAGAAATTTAGGAGATGTGTGTATTTTTATGTAAATAATTGTCAGGTGTATAAATATGCACTGCATGCGCTAGATACTTTAGCAATGGATGACCTTGGTGTGGGATTAAGTTTTCTAATTAATTGAAGTTCTGTGACCAGTTGCATGGTTGCTGTTTCTTTAGTTTCCAGTTCCTGATTTAGCAGCTGTGTGTGTGTGCCTGTGGGAGTAAGGGCAAAATAAAATCTAGTGGTTTTTTATGGGCTGTCTGCAGTAAATTTTTTAGTCTGTGATGAGGTTGTTTAGTATGGTTAAGCTTTGACCTTCTCTTACTTACTCATGGTTCTGAGTATGCTGGGTTGAGTAGAAAGCTGCCTTCCCAAGACGGAAGCGATTTCACAGATTTTGTTTTTCCCCTTTTTTATTTTTTTTATTTAAGGTGCCTGGGCTCTAAGGAACATTCCTTGTTCTTCTTCTTTTAGATTGAAAGTGTTTAGCTGAGGAGAGAAAGGTTTGAGAAATTTGCTCTTTTGTTTTCTCACGTTCTGTAATTTTAAATAAACCTGAGTTGAAAGTTCATGGGACTCAAAAAGACAACCAACACCCCTCCAAAAAATGAAGTGTGTCCTCTCTCCCCACCCCAGTCCTTTATGAAATAAGAGTTTGTCACATGAAAATCCCACTTGAAAGACCAATTATGCTGACAATATGTAGAAAATATTTTTAGAGGAATTTTCAAATGTTTAGAAATAGGGGTTTGTTTGTTGGGGTTTTTTTTTTAAATCCTTACATATATTTAAAATATATACCAAGTATGTAACAAACCAAATCATGTGGTATACAATCATTTTTCTTCTTATTTAGGTGACAAACAGCATGTTTGGTGCTTCAAGGAAGAAGTTTGTAGAGGGGGTTGATGGTGACTACCATGATGAGAATATGTACTACAGCCAATCGTCAATGTTTCCACATCGGTCAGAAAAAGATGTAAGTTGAATAAGCTTATTTTTTTCTCCTTTCAATAGTGAGATCATTTCAAGTGAAATATATGTGAGGAAGGGCTTATTTTAGCTTTAAGTTGTGCATGACTGTGTTTTTAATGGTAAGTGCTGTAATTTTAGTGAGTTTATACATGTAAACTTCAGCCATATGCTTCCCAGTTTTTTTTTAATCTTTAAGAACTATATTTGTAACTTAAATTGGATTATTTGTTATATCTTGTGTTTACATGTTGTGTCTACAGTGTTTTGCATTTTACATCTTCAACCGTTTTTAGTTTCTGAAAATGCAGCTTGTTTGCTTAAGTATTCTAATTTAGGTTTTTCTCCTGTTTGTAATGACACAAAGTTACAAAACTAATTGTTCTTAAACATCCCTTGGTAATGCATTATTGTATGTTAAAACTGCATTGGCTTTACTGAAGCTCTGCTTATTATTAAAATAATAGTATTTAGCAATAGTATTAAAATTAAAAGTAATATTTCACTTTTATATGGAGTGGCCTGTACAAATATGTGGAAGACTGTAAGCATGACTTGTACATGTCACCTGAAGGTCAGTAGTACCATCTCATGACAGCCTTGCATTTAATACGTGTAAGCAACATACAGTCTAGATTTTTCTTTTTAATTAAAAAGCCCAAAACATTCAGACTTTCAAAAAGTTGTCATTTTCAAGTCTGCCTCCTTGACTGTCCAGAAACATAGTTGTTTAATATTAGATGTGAACATAGTCTTGATAGAGCTTGACCTATGTAAACATGAACATTTCCTATAGACTCTTAGTTAGCTGGATTTTAGTCCAGATTTTCAAAGGGAAGGAAATAAGTTTAAAGTAGAAGGCTTTTTAAAACAAACAAACAAAAAAAGGCTTAAATGCAGCTTTCCAATTCTGTTTCATAAGTGATTTTGATGAGAAGTTTCAGGTGAGCCAGCAAAGAATTAAAATGTAGTGCAGTGTAAAGAAAAATAAGTAGGGTGTTCTTTTCTGTTTATGTCCATTATATATGTACATGTACACAGATGCACACAGGCACAATGGAATATTTATAATATTGAACATACTTTCCTTTTTGTGAGCACTGAGGGATGCAGCTAGCACTCTTCAAAAACAGTAGATGCTATTTCTCCAAAGTGATTCTTGGATATTAAATCCCCACTTTTAGATTTGATGTGCTGAGGGAGAAGTCATTATGATGTAGTAAGAAAGGTCAAGTAGGATGAATGATATGCTGTACAGTGTACACAGTGAAAGTTGATGCTTGGCACATTATTGAATGAGTGTTTTAGTTGCCTACTCTTTCTGTAGGCAATGTTGCAGAAGTGGATCTTAGAATGGGACTTCAAGAGAAGGAAGGTGGGTGTTCCAGACACCAAGAATGACAAATGAGAAATCATGAAAGCTTGTGGGTGAAGTGGCCAAAATGGGGCATGGAAGCGTCTGTAGTTGGTGGAAGAGTGATGTCATTCCGACAGGAAATGGCAGAGTAATTTTTGCAAAAGCTTTTTAAAGTTTGACTTCCAAATGCTTTCTAAGGGATTTTTTTTTTCCCCCCTCTGTAGCTTCACTATTGACCATTACAACTTTTTGAGTTAATACTTATGAAATAACCATTATATGCTATTGTATTTAAAAAAAAAAAAAAAGTTGATCTTTAGTTTCTTTAAAAAAAAAGTTTCTTTTCTTTTTTCTTTAGTTTCTTTTTTTTTTAAAAAAGTTGATTTTTAGTTTCTTGTATGTATTTACAGAGAGAAGGTGAAATTAATGTATTGCAGGTTTTAGCTACAAACCTGTAGAAAATGAGTTAAACTTTTTTTTCCCCCCTCTCCAGTGTATCATATATACATATGAGTCCTTCATTTATGCTTCATTTATCCTCTAGAGTTCTTCAATGTGAAATAGAGTGGTTCTGAGGGAAGCCCTCTGTGGCTGGCCTCCTTAAATACCCCTCTTTGGGAAAGGCTGAGGCTTGTTTAGTGTTTACTTTCATACTGGACATGGCTATGTGTTTTCCTGTTTTTCACTTTGTTGAAGTCTTACTGATTCTGACCTTAGAAGTTGCTGCTTTCCAAGGAATTGTTACTGTGGATGTTTATGTGTGCTCCAAGCAGAACATACAAATTGGTGAAACATTGCTAAAATTTAGAGTAGAGTAAGGACTATTACTGCGATTGTATTTTGTATAAACCTTGGAACCTATTTTTCACTTTATGGTAGAGTTTCTGTCCTTGAGAAGAAGCATTGTCTTCAGATAGGGTACAGTGATGACTTGTGCACAGTTTTTGACTGGGTTGGGAGATTTTCAGCTTCCTACCTTGTTTTAACATCTTAGGTGGAGTTTGGGGGGTTTTAAATATTGTATTAGAAAATAGTTCTTTATTCACTAAATGAAAAAATAATTCAGAACTATGTGGAAAAGATCTGAAAAATATTTATGGCTTTAAACAATTTTCATAGCACTGATGTAGTGTTCTTGTGACTTGTTGCTTTGGCTAATTTGAATTTTAAAATTGCACAAAGTTGAAATGAACTAATGCTGCGCAGGTCCTGTCTCAAATTTTAAAGACTTTTTACAAGTAGAAACAAGTAGCAGCAAATAGTTTAGGACATGCTATTTTTATTTCAGAGCCTCAGTGTAGCTAAAAACTTAAAAGCTTTCTTTTAACTTGTTTTTTCACAAGGGAATACAATTCTAGACAGTCAGGACTGATGTAGCTTTTCCATTTCAATTAGTCTATGTTACTCATGTGCACAAGTGCTTCCAAAATCATACAGATGCTGTTTGGGTCTGTTGTTTTAGGCACAAAATTATGGTTCCTTAGATGAGATTAAATCTTACTCAAGCCATCTAATGCTACCTTTTTACTAAATGAGTGGCTTTGCCTTGAGTCATCGCTGCTGCACTAAGTAGGGAAGTGGAACGGAGTATATCCATGAATGCTATGTCTATGAATTCTGCTGCGCTTAAGGTCAGTTCATGATAACCATGTCATGAATCCTTCTGCAAAGAAATCAGATATTTTTACAGAACTTGCAGAAAATTAGAACAGTTCAGGAAAATAGTTTAAAATTTGGCTTGGAACAAATGGGGTTCTTTAAGTTAAATTGACAGTAAGATGAACAATATGCCCACAAAATAATGGCCACAAAACAGAGCTTATTTGTGGCCAATTTCACCCACTTAATTGAGCTGTCTACGCTCAGCAAAATCGTTTTGAGGATGGACATATGTGTGTCTTTATCTGGATAGAGTTACAATGGTAGAAATTGGTAAATCAAAGCCTTCATATACTTTTTGGATCTACTGTCTTCAAATGAGCAAAAAAAAAATGACAGCTTTGAGGAAAGATGGGACTCATTCAGTCTGAACTTCTTTGATTTCTCATATATAAGAATGTAGGAAGTGCTCTACAAGTGCTTTACCAGTCTAGCCCAATCCACTGAAGATGCCTACCTGGGAATGTAAGATCAGGGCATCTTCTGTTCTGAACTGCAGTCACAAATCTGACAGTAGACAGACACGCCTTTTAATGAAGATCTGAATAAAATATGGGGAAAGTTAGGAGAATTTTTTCAGTGGATGCTGTTTCCATTTCTTGGCCCAGTGCTTTGCTGTTCATTTTCTTTCCCAGTTGCTCAGCAGATGATAAAATGCTCACAATAACATGGTAATAATTCTCTGATTTCTACTTCTAGTGTGTTAGTTTGCTGAACTTACTCTTTTCTCTGAAAAATCTTAATATTTTAACTAATTCTGCACTTTCTTAGTTGAGACCTGATGTTCTTTTGCATCTCAGTTCTTTAAAAATGTGGCTTCTTGTGAAGCCAAATATATTTTAACAATTGGGACAGGTAAGATCTAGCCTGCAGATTAGATCTGGCTCATTGCAACTATTGATCTAGCTCCCTGGCACTACCTTTCCTGAAGTAGGAGGTCCTCAGATTTGGATATTGAGCACAGTGAAATGGGTTATTGATTCTGGAAACCTGCTTTCCAGAGGTTTCTTCCATCCTGAAATAGTAGAAGCATGTCTGTGATGGATTACATTCAGGTGTTCCTCTGTCATGAGACAGTTGCGTGCAGGCAGAGGTCAGTAGTTTGTCTTGTAATGGACACAATGGTGATACAGCAAAGGGGTGGTCAGAAGCTGTTATCAAAGCCTTTTACTGCGAACTTCCATTAAAGTAATTTATAGAACCTTTATCTAACTCTTTACTGTATATTGAAATATATGGCCTTAAAAAGAGATAGTACTTTTACAAGAGATAACACCCTGAAACAAGACTTAGCTTACCATGGAGATGGAGATCCAGAATCTTGCTAAGTTTGAGAAACTAAATGTGGAAGGGTTTAATCAAGTCGTCTGAAGACAGCTTTGGCTTCAGAGTTTCTGAACACCATGTTGTTCTAGCTGCATTGTTGACTTTCTAATGCTATTTTTTTAGGATTCTAAGGGGATCTATGGTATCTTGTTTCCCAAGGCATCTTGCTTGGCATTTGCCATAGTTGTTGCAGGAGAGTTTGTTAGCTTAGTCATAATTTAACTTCAGATACTGCACATGGAGTTGTTGTAAGTATTTAAGAATTCCCATGGAACCCTCTCGTATCAGGAACAGTAACAGCATTCACGCTAATGCTGGCTGGTTGAATAGAGTTACCTTACATTAACGTGACTTGTCATAGTCTGAATAGTTTTGATCCATTTGTGGAGGGGGAAAAAAAGAAAAGCTTATTTTGGGAAAAAAATACATTCATGTCTTTAATTATAAATGGCCAATGAATATTTTCGTATACATTACTTCGCATGCAAATGTAGTTGTAGATTTGACTAAATAGTGGAATGGTTTGCCCCCCTTGCTTTTTGAAACACCTGGCTTAAACTTTTGTGAGCAGCAAAGCAACAGACTTGCTTTTTACCTTCCCGGAGAGCAATTAAATTTTTTTTGCATCTTTTAGTGAGTACATGATATGGATTTTTTTAAAACAA